TGGCTGAAAACCAGCCTGGAAATGGCCAACACCCCTCTAAAACCAGGCTGGTCAACCAACTAAAACCAGCCAACCAGCCTAGGCTGGTTTAAGCTGGATTTTTCAGCAGGGAGGGCTGTTGTTGTAGATGTGTTTTGGAAGCAATTTGAAACATTTTAAAAATATTTTGGCTTATTGAACAAAATGAATGAAATGACTCGAAAAAAGATTCGTTCATCTCGATGAACGAGACTTAAAGATCCGAGCTAGTAAAATGATCCAAACTTCCCATCACTAATTAAATCAGACGTCTCACGTCGGCACGTTTTAGACCGGCAATCTTCCTTCTGCGTTCGCACAGCGCAGCATTTTGGCAAATTACTGGGATTGTTACAACTTCTCTTTCCAGAAAATAGCCAGAACGAATTTACCGGTATTTTAAAAAGGGTCTGTTCACACATACACACCTTTCCGGAAAATTGCCGGTAATTTTCCAGCAAGGTCTGTATGTAGGGGCTAATGATTTCCATTGTATGTCAATGGCATTTTCCCCCCAAAACTTTTCAGAATAATGTTTAAAACTACTATTAAAATTACCGCTAGGTGGTGGTATTTTCATACATTATGAGAAACCATTTGAAATTGAGCTATTTGATATATATTTTTTGTCTGATTTCTTATAGAATCAATGACTATTCACTTTTTTCTCTCATAAGCAGGGCCTTCATCTGTTGTCCTGCTATATATTGTTACTAGGACACATCATGATGCCAAACTCATCATCAGGACCAGGAGGTGAGCAGGATGTTTAAGAGTCATGAGTTCAGTTTAATGCTTGTGAAACCTTTGGCTGCTGGCTTGAGTGTGTGGGATACTTGGGACATTTTTTCCAGAGGCATATTGACGTCAAATACTAACTCTTATGTATGGCAACCAAAACCAACATCTGATAGACGTCATAGAGGTAACATCCTCACAACTTCAAGCTGTAATAACATTAGATGTTGATATTTTGTTGTTTTTAGGTTGCGTTGGAAAGTAACCAAAATGCAATGTCTGTCCGGCATTGGACATTAACATTGGCCTGATGTTGGGTTCTGACGTCAAATCAATTTTCATTTCCACCTAATTCAACGTCCCAGAACGTTGGAATACAACACCAATCTGACGTCATGTTGACGTCCTGTGCCTGCTGAGTTTTTTTTTTTTTTTTTTAAGGAAAAACTCACTTAATTTTTAAATATTATTACTTAACACATTATATGTTTTGCTTGTCTAATGCCTCTTGATTAAAGATATTTTAGATATTTGGTCTTGAAAAAAGACACAAAAAAACTCCACAAAGAAAAAGGCTGGTATTAAATAAAAAGCTTTTAAATTAATTTTTGGTCATAATTCTCATTTTATGATGATGCATCTAACCCCAGTGGAAATCATAATGCTTCATCTCACCCCAGGGTGTGTTACAATTAACCTAGATTATGTTTGTAAATTTAACACGTAATATTTCACTCCTGTTTCAAACGAAACTAAGCATTTTCTGTTTGTGCTGTAAAGATAACATCAATGCAATTTAAAAACAGACACTTGTAACTAGTTTGAATCACACTCTGAACACTGGCTTCTCAAAAATAAAGAGGAAGGTAACAACTTTCCCCAGTCTTTCCTACTTAAGGCCAGTAGAGGGCGATATTTGAATGCGACAAATCATTAACGCCCTATATTTAAGTTTGTTTCCCCCACTTTAATAAAAGAACTGATCTATTATGGAGATGGATAGTTCAGAGAAAAGTGTTAATCATGCTGCTCTGCTTGGGATCTTCAGGTGTGTGTCGGTTGCTGGCCTCTTTGCTGTATGGCCTGGAGTCTCACATGGACACCTCAGAGGACAGTTCATTTCTACAGGACATGCTCATGGGCAACACTCTGCATCTGCTTATTAAGGTCAGACTTTATTTTAGCAGCCACCGGTATATGAGTGGTGTTAGCCCACTTTAGGCACTGCTGTTTGCCAGTCCTATATGACTTGAATCGGACAAAATTATTCAGACCAAGTTGTTCCACTGGCTTGACCCTATAAAGAAGAAATTCCTGCTCATATGAGGAGTATTTATAAGGTTTTAGAGCATTTTTCTCAGGTTGCGAGTGTGTAGGTTTGGTCATTTGTCTTTTATGGCAATCAATAGGTATTTGTCATTAGGGATGTAATGATTATAGTTTTTGGTTGTACGATTATAGTATTTTTACTATATAGTATTTTACTTTATTATTAGAGGAATAATCAAGGTTTCACGGTTATTATGCATTCATACATTTTAAAACTACCAGTTTCTAAAACCACATGAAAACTCTTTATATTTTAAAGTGTTGTTTATTGCTGCTCAGCAACCAAATAATACTGTACAACACAAAATAATAATGAATAAACAATAGTCCATTTCTCTTTGCACTTAAAAATAAGTGAAAAAACTTTCTGACATTTAAACAAGTAATAATTTTGAACAGAAAATGAATAAAGAAAATTAATAAATAAACAAATAATAAATAAGCAAATAAAAAAATTAATTAATTAATAAACAAACAAATTAATATATAAATAATCAAATAAATAAATAAACAAATAATGAATAAATAAATAAATAAATAAATAAATATTAAATGAACAAATAATAAATCAATAATAAATAAACAAATAATAAATAAATAAATAAATGATTAAATAAATAAACAAATAAATAAATAATAAATAAATAAATAAAACAAACAAATAAATAAATAAATAAACAAATAATAAATAATTTAAATAATAAATAAACAAATAATAAATTTATTTACTTTATAAAGAGCTGAGCCCCCCTAAAATCTTCCCTATAGCGCTCCCGGGTTTTTCTGCAGTCTCGATGCACGCACATCCTGGTTGTTTACAAACCGGTAATTCGCCTATAGGATTTTTTTTGCATGTGCAAAACATGAAACTGAAATGTCTGATATGCCAATTCTCACCACAAAACAAGTTCCAGCTAATGTCAGAATCCATGTCAGCAGCGAACGCAAACATGCAACTAAAGGATTACACTAAGCACTCGCAAAGAGAGAATGTTTGCTGCTTTTTCCAAGGCTCTGCTAGATACGACTAAAGGAAATCTGAGCTACTTTTTATTTTTCCCCTGTTGGAAAACAAGTAATTATACTTCCATTCCAAACAAGAACGAAGAAACTTCACAAGAAACACACCATAAGAATCAGAAATAAATGTAGCATGCGGTTCGAGTCACAATACATCTCCGTAAATTGTTTTGCACATGACTGAGTTCACAGAAATGCCAGTGCTTTTATCTTTGCTATATATAAGATGCACAATGTCTGAAACTGAAATGTCTGATATGCCAATTCTCACCACACATGGTTTTAAGGCACAGCAAGATGCACAGAGAGCTCGGTGTCTGGTTTTGGTGTGTGATGTCATCTATTAAAAAATGTTGAATAGTTTTAGTTTATACATCTGTTTTCAAACACGCTCATCTTTATGAGTAGCGTTAGCTGTGTGAGGGCCGTAAATATGATTACATCTTCCTTGGCTGGTATTCTAATAGCTTTCCCATTGCCTAGACCGTATATAAAGCCCAGCCGGTGGACAGACAGACAGATAAACACCCAAAACTCATTCAGCAGGGTGTGAATTATGCAAATTATATATATATTATGTGTGACGGTAATGTTAATTTGTGCTCCAGTGAAGCAAATTTCTATATTTAATTCATTAATTCATTTTCCTTCACCTTAGTCTATATTACAGAGGTCGCCGCAACTATTCCAGCATATGTTTTACACAGCGGATGCCTTTAAGCTGCAACCCAGTGCTGGGAAACACCCATACACACTCATCCACACACAATCATATACACTACTGTCAATGGGAAACCGGAGCACCCGGAGGAAACCCACGCCAACACAGGGAGAAAATGCAAAGTCTACGCAGAAACGCCAACTGACCCAGCTGGGACTTGAACTGGTGACAGTGCTGTGAGGCGACAGTGCTAATCACTGAACCACCATGTCACCCATATTTAATTCAGTTACATCAAACTATTAACCAAACTTATCAGTGTTTTGTTGGATATTGTGTTTATTCTGATCGAGTGCTCTCTGATTGGCTATTTTAGATGATGTGATAGTCAAAGATGACCTATTTTTGATGCTGTAAAAAACAAACAATGACAAATTTGAATTCATAAACACCAATAAACAGACGACCACGTTTATTTTGATTTATTTTAGTTTTATTTGATTTCATGTATTATTTTACTGTGAGAGCAGAGGGCCCTATCGTACACCGGTCACAATAAGGCGCAAGACGTGTTTGGCGCAATTTGTTGCTATTTTCAGACCAGCACAACTGTAATTTTCACGTTTTGCACCATGTAGTTTAAATGGCAAATCTATTTGCACCACTTTATGGATTTATGGGTTTGCTGGTCTTGTTAAGGATATTTATTGTTCTTTTTCTTGGTAGCTGCATGGAGGGCGCCATAGCGACCAGCGTCTTCCAGTAGAATGTTTTGAACAGCATTTACAACTGGTAATTTGCAATCCGAAAATGTGTTTCAATAGCGTTTTGCGTGGATTACGGAGTGTTTTTGTGACACACAACTGGTGTGTGTGTTAAAGCCGTTATAATCTGTCAGATGTGGTTGAAGCGCAAGAGAAAAACATCCTGTCTGTCTGTCTGTCTGTCTGTCTGTCTGTCTGTCTGTCTGTCTGTCTGTGTGTGTGTGTTCCCGACCTGTTAGCTCAGCGGCTCTTAAATTCACACACACAGTTAGGTTTACGTCAATAGAAGGAATGCCACACCAAACCAGGGTGTCTGCAGGGTTTTAAAAAGTATTAGAAGTTGATTAAAAGGTATTAAAAAGTCTTAATCACGGTTTTACGAGGTCTTAAATTTTGTTCAAGCATTGTCCAAAGTGTTTGACTCCAAAAAAAACTGATATATTTATTTTCCTCTTAATATTAACAACGGCATGCTCGATCCACGTGTCCGGGCCGAGGTGCGTCCGTCTGGGTAATGTCACCTAGTTTGCGACAAACGTAGGAAAGTGATGTGACGCTTTCCACATCTAGTGAAACCACAAAGCGAAACAAACGGGAAAATGTAAGTTTGCTTACTCCTGGTTGGGGAAAAACGAGTTGGCTGAAAACAATGGCTGAAGCCTGTCACTGTAAACAACAACATAATTTATTCTTTCAAGCTTTATTTCTTCTGAGCTTATCTGTTGCATGGTTTTGCTTCATTGATTTATTTAACTACAACTGTTAAAGGTACAGATTTGATACTGATTAGAACTTGGAGAGGCGATGAAGTCTTTAAATATTCTGAGAAGGTCTTTAAAAAGTCTTAAAAAAGGTATTGAAATTCCCTTAAGCATTCCTGCATATACCCTGCAAACACACTAATTATATTTTCGATATGTATTATATAAGATCAAAGTAAACTTATGTATTATTAAAGAGAGCAAACTATTTCTTGCTATTTAAAGCACTGACTCTCATCTTGTTTTTACGTCCTTCAATAAACTGATCAAGAGTTAATCAGAGGAGAGCAGAACTCCCCTGTAATACACACTGATCACACTGTGTGATGTATTACTCGCGTAATTCAGAGTAACATTTTGCTACTAGATGAATCTGAGAGGTGAGGGTCCACGTTCACCCTCAGCGCTTTGGACGGGGGTTTAACGCCACTTCTGCTCTTCTTGCAGGTCTATGACAGGCTGCAGAAGTACAGGGCCCAGCGCCCCGCTCCGCTGCTGGACAGCACACAGGGCCTGGCTCACCGCGTAAGTTCTCCTCTGGGGCGCCTCGTGGTTTTTGTCTCCAGACCAAAAGTGATCAGACAATCCAGAGACGTTGGGACGGGATTCAGTTGCAGGACCTTTTAGTCTGTTTAGTGTTGTCGGTTTGAAGTGTACTGGAAGGGATTACTAGCGAACACCCCTAGAGTCACATAAACATATGCACTGCACACGCAGACACTCGCTGGTTTATTGTGTTATTTTTTTAATGAAATAATTTGGCAACTCTCATCCATGTTCAGGACCAAAACATCTGCATTTTTTGGTGCATAAATGTCCAACATGACGCAGTTTTCCATTACATCTATCAACTGTAAAATGTTAGTTAGGAAACTTGTGGAAACTGAAGGCCTGAAATTAAAGTAAAATAGCTTGTTTGTTGTTGTTGTTGTTTTTTAATATTGGTAACTTAATTTTATGAGTTAAGCACTTAGTTAAGTCAACTTAAATATTAAAAAAGAAAAACAGTCTTGCATTAAGAGAAACCAGTGGAAAATCAACGTTAAAGAGCCCCTGTTATGCATTATAAAGGTCATATTTTGGTTTTGGGGGTCTCCAACAACATGCTGATCTGCATGCAAGGTCAAAAACACTATCATTGTTTTATAATATACATTTATTTTACCTAATTATCCCAACGACTCCCGTACGATTCGTTCAGCGATTTAATTGTTCCCAAACTCCTCCTCAGCAGAATGCTTGCCTCAGCACACCTGCCTGGGTGTTTCAAATATACCTAGTAAGACCCTGATTAGCTTATTCACATGTGTTTGATTAGGGTTGGAGCTAATGGAGTTTGATGTTCCCTGATCTACAGCAACCCACTTGACAATATTATGTATCTATGACTAGAAAGAGCTGGATTGGGTGTGTTTAATTGGACCAAGTTTGGTAACCCTTGAGTCATACATAGGTTGCACACTCATTAATGTGGTGCATTGTGGGATTGATTACATGCACTTCAGAACGTCCACTATGGTTTCAGAGACCACTACAAACGGCTGCTCCCACTACTAGTGCATTATTAAAGTGTATAGGGGTAATGGAAAACTTAAACATCGCATAAAACAGCGAATAAATCAGTTTTTCCATCCAACAAGTCAAAAAGAACAAAATCATCACTTCTTTATAAAATGGCGGCAAATATCAATAATAATAATAATAGTAATAATAATAATAATAATAATAAAATGCCACTGTGGGCCTTGTTTAAAATATAATAAAATTATTGTCCCTCAAAAGACAAAGATAAAACCTGGATGGAAACTTTTCTTCACTCTTCGACTTGACTTTCTCCTTATTTCACATTTAATTTTTATTATTCTTTCAGCCTCTGTCTTCCCTTATTAGTTATATCCCTTTAACAACAATCACATCGCATGTTTTATTAAAATATATTTTCCTCTTCCTTTCACATCTTGCAAAAACACTCAGCTGCCTGTATCATTTCAGTTCTGCTGAGACTCTTAAAACAAAGATTACCTCCAGCTCTTGACTGCGTACGCTGTATTTCATTAAGTCCAGGAGAGGTTTTAAAACAATATCAATTTCCATCTTCTCTCAGGCTGAAAATGAAGAAGACGTTTTGGAGCATTAAGCCGTTAAAAGCATTTTCCTTATATGTCGCGGCTCAGTGTAAAATTTCATTTTTGGAGGTTTAATGTATGTTTAATGTCAGGTCCGGGGTCACCCTCAACCGCATTCAGTCTAGCTGCTTGTTGCTCGGCTGAACCACAACAGAAACGGCGATTTCTCCAGGGTTCTTGGTGCTGTGGCTGTTTGACCTGCTATGTAAACACTCGCATAGCATTGTCAAGTAGGTTGGCGTAGATTGAACTGGACCTCTGAGCTTTGCCAAAGCAAACTGGCACCAGATCAGTTCATAATACCTGGTGCACACATTAAGCCAAATGGCATGCTCAAAAACTTCTCTTTTAGCACTAAAATGGTCCAGTAACTAGTTATATATGTGTATTAATGCATATTTATAGGCTTACTCACTTTTCTTAGGCTTAGTCCCTGTTTATCAGGGACTGCCACAATGGAATGAACCACCAATTATTCTGTCATATGTTTCATATGGTGGTACCCTTCCAATATTTATGGACTGTATTACCAAAATGATCGCATTTTCAGGTAACACTGTAAAAAATGCAATCAGTACAACATGATGGAATTAAGTAACTTATTAGATTTAGGATATTTAAGTGGATTGAACTTTAAACAGTTATGTTGTCCTTAAAACACCTCAAGAATTGTGTTGTTTCACCTCATTTTAAATAAGTAGTTTGAACAAACATCATTTTTTGAGTGCGTGTTGCTCAGCTGAACCCCAACAGAAACGGCAAGTTCTCCAGGGTTTTTTTGGTGCCGTGGCTTTTTGACTTGCTATGCAAACATATTATTGTCACATGGGTTGGTGTGATTAAACCAGAAGTCTAAGCTTTGCCAAAGCAAACTGGCACCAGATCAGTTCATGATACCTGGTGCATACATTAGGCCAAATGGCATGCTCAAAAACTTCTCTTTTAACACTAGAATGGTCCTGTAACTATATATGTGTATTAATGCATATTTATAGGCTTACTCACTATTCTTCGGCTAAGTGCCTGTTTATTAGGGGCTGCAACAAAGGAATGAACCGCCAATTATTCTGTCATATGTTTCATATGGTGGATGCCCTTCCAATATTTATAGACTGTATTACCAGAAAGATTGGGTTTTCAGGGTACACTGTAAAAAATGCTGGGTTCTACGCAATCTATTTGTGTCAGTGCAACATGAAGGAATTAAGTTAATAATTTTAGCCAATTTAAGTGGATTAAACTTAAAAAAAAGTATGTTCTTCCCAAAAAAAAAATTTTTTTTTTGCCAAAGCAAACTGGCACCAGATCAGTTCATGATACCTGATGCATACATTAAGCCAAATGGCATGCTCAAAATCTTCTCTTTTAACACTAGAACTACCAAGGTGATCATTCTTACAGATAAGAAATTTATTAATTTAATAACTTCATTAAATTAATACTCTATAATACCCAGAAAATATCTTAAATATCTTTCAATCTAACGTTATTTTGTTCAAATTGCAAAACATAAAAAGTTCTGAGTATTTCTATCTAGCAAAACTTGCACTGCTGCTTGTGAAGTGAAAGTGAGGTGTGTAGCTTCGCCAGCAGTCTAGAACTATTTATATATGGATAAATACATACAGTGCATCCGGAAGGTATTCATAGCGCTTCACTTTTTCCACATTTGTAATGTCACAGCCTTATTCCAAAATGGATTAAATTTGTTTATTTACTCATTATTCTACACATAATACTGCATAATTACAATGTGAAACAATGTTTATTAAAATTCCTGCTAATTTATCAAATATAAAGAACCTGAAAAATCACATATACATCAGTATTCACAGCCTTTGCCGTGTAGCTCTAAACTGAGCTCAGGTACATTCTGTTTCCACTGATCATTCTTGAGATGTTTCAGCAGCTTCGATGGAGTTCACCTGTGGTCAATTCAGTTGATTGGACATGATTTGAAACGGCATACACCTGTCTATAGAAGGTCCCAAGGTTGACAGTGCATGTTAAAGCACAAACCAAGCATGAAGACATAGGAACTGTCTGTAGACCTCTGAGACAAGATTGTGGAAGGCTGTGGAAGGTTGCAGAAAAGGTTACAGAAGGTTTCTGCTGCTCTGAAAGTTTCAATGAGCACAGCAGCCTCCATTATCTGTAGGTGGAAGATATTTGGAACTACCAAGACACTTACTAGAGCTGTCCGGCCATCTAAGCTGAGTGATCAGTGGAGAAGGGCCTTAGTCAGGGAGGTGATCAATAACCCAATGGTCACTCTGTCTGAGCTCCAGTGTTCTTCTGTGGAGAGAGGAGAACCATCTGTGCAGCAATCCACCAATCAGGCCTGTATAGTAGAGTGGCCAGACGAAAGCCACTCCCGACCTGGAACTTGCCAAAAGGCATCTGAAGGACTCTCAGACCATAAGAAACTAAATTCTCTGCTCTGATGAGACTAAAACTGAACTCTTTGGAGTGAACGCCAGGCGTTACGTTTGGAGAAAAGCAGGCAGCGCTCATCACCAGGCCAATATCATCCCTACAGTGAAGCATGGTGGTGGCAGCATCATGCTGTGGGGAAGTTTTTCAGCAGCAGGAACTAGAAGACTAGTCAGGATAGAGGGAAAGATGAATGCAGCAATGTACAGAGACATCCTGAATGAAGACCTGATGTAGAGTACTCTTAACCTCAGACTGGGGTGACGGTTCATCTTCCAGCAGGACAATGACCCAAAGCACACCAACAAAATATCAATGGAGTGGCTTCACAATAACTCTGTGAATGTCCTTAAGTGGCCCAGCCAGAGCCCAGACCAAAATCCTATTGAACATCTCTGGAGAGATCTGAAAATGGCTGTACACTGTCGCTTCCCATCCAACCTGATAAAGCTTGAGAGGTACTGCAAAGAGGAATGGGTAAAAATTCCCATAGGCAGGTGTGCCAAGCTTGTGGCATCATATTCAAAAAGACCTGAGGCTGTAATCGCTGCCAAACGTGCATCAACAAAGTATTGAGCAAAGGCTGTGAATACTGATGTACATGTGATTTTTCAGGTATATTATTTTATAAATGTGCAACAATTTCAACAAAACTTTTTTTTCACATTGTCATTATGGGGTATTGTGTGTAGAATGTTGAGGAAATAAATGAATTTAATCCATTCAAGAATAAAGCTGTAACATAAAAATGTGGAAAAAGTAAAGCGCTATCAATAATTTACAGATGCACTGTATTTATACGGTAGGCTTTCTTTTCTCCCCGTTAAAATCTCTGTTTTATTAGGGATTGCCACAGCCGAATGAACCATATGTTTCATATGTTTCTATATTTATCGGCTGTATTACCAAAAAGAATCTTTTTTTTTTTTTTTTTGCAAGGTAATGATTAATAAATAAGATGACAGATGCAAAGCTTAATTCTAAAATTTCAATGGACCCTTTTCACAAGACAGCTCTGATGCATTTCTTGGTCGTCAGCATCTTAAATCCTTAAGTTTTTACTGTTTTGTTTCTTTTATTAAAAGATATACACATTTATATGTGTATGTATATATTAAAACATATTTGCATCAAATTAAAATAAAACTCAGAGTTTATGGGGGCAGGACAGTAAATTTGTTCTCTCCCCTGGCTGCCTTTATCAGTCTCACACTATTTTTTTTTTATATATATATTTCTGAAAGTCTTTATAACACCATTGTGGAGTTTTTCTTTAATTCTTTCAGCAAATAGGATCATAAAGAAATGTATTTGTTGTACTTTTCCATTCACTGTGCTCTAAGTTAACCCAACTACCATGATTTACACTACAGAGAAACCCGAAAATGTGAAAAGTCCATGGAAGCTTTGAATGTAAATATGAAATGACAAATTGACGTCTTATATGGGAATGGTCAGAATGACCACTATGGCCATTCTAGTAGTTATAGAATTGTCTTACAGAATCTCTTTTAAGCTACCATATATGCATTACTGTATTTCATTTTTCCTTCTAGCTAGCAGAAGAGCTGCAGGATACAGTCAACAGTCCAGAGACAACAGAGCTGTTAAACCTGCTTTCCAAACCTCATGTACAGGTGAGAACAATACATACATTTGGGTCAACCCTTATTATATATATATATATATATATATATATATATATATATATATATATATATATATATATATATATAGTATATATATATATAGTATATATATATATAGTAGTTAGCATTTGAAGTGGCTCAAAATACTTAATCCAGAATTGGTCAAGACAAGAATGAGTGTAATTCAATTTGGTGAAAGGTTTATACCATAAATGTCGCATTTCTAAAGGTGCTTTTGACTCACAGATGTTGGTAACAACCAAAGAAATCCATATATAAAAAGAAAACAAATCTAATTAGTTTACAAATTATGTGTAATAAATTGAAATGACGCAGGGAACACATGAAGAAAGGGAGGTTTAGAAAGACATGGAAAGCCCAGACAGCAGCTGAAATCTCTTAGAAGTTCTTCAGCAAACCTCTGCCCTATGTTATTGTAAATTAATATTCCCTGCTTTAGTCTGACATCTACATTAGCTGGATGATGAAGATGAAACCAGGGTGGACATTTCAGCAAGACAATGATCCAAAACACAGCCAAGGAGACTCTGGAATGCTTTCAGAGAAAGAAAATCAAGCTGTAGAATGGTCCAATCACCTGATCTGAACTCAATAGAAAATACAACATAAAGCTCTGATTTGATAGACGAGACCCACAGAACCATCAGGATTTTTACACTTTTAATCTGTGAAAAACTCTCACCTGAGCAATGCATGTGACGTCATTCTCCATATGAGAGGCGTCTTTAGTTTAGTTTAGTTGTTTACAGGGTTAATGCACATTAATAAACATTACTGTCAAATGTGCCAGAATTAGCTAAGAATGGCTATTTTTCATCTGTAGACCCCTTACAGAATGTTAAAAAGTCACACCTAAAATAGAAGCACAGCATTAAACATTAAATACACTTTCATATATAAAATACAGTTTACAGTCAGTTGGCATTTCTGTGTCGAGTTTGCATGTTCTGCCTGTGCTGGTGTGGGTTTCCTCTGGGTTCCCCACAGTAAAAACACATGCGCTATAGGTGAATTGGGTGAACTAATTTGGCCCGTAGTGTATGAGTGTATGAGTGTGTGTGAATGTGAGAGTGTATGGGTGTTTTCCAGTACTAGGTTGCAGCTGGAAGTGCGTTTACTGCGTAAAACATATGCTGGAATAGTTGGCGGCTCGTTCTGCTGTGGCGATCACTGATAAATAAGGCAAAGGAAAATATGCCAAAGGAAAATAGATAAATCTTTACTGTTCATTGATCGCTCATGTTAGTGAAAACATTAACTAATGCAGCCTGATTGTAAAGTGTTACATGTGATACTGTACCTATGTTTTGTTTTGTTATCCTTTTCAGACTCTTCTGTTAGTGCATGATGTGGTGGCGCAGAAAAGGTTTGACCCTCGGTTGCCGCCTCTGCCCCCTTTACCTGATTGCAACGAGGAAGATGAAGATTCAATCAAGATTGTTTGCCTGGTTAAAAACCAAGAGCCACTGGTGAGTGCATAACATAACCGAGTAAATCCTATAGAGTCGAACTCTAGAGGGCCACTGGTCTGCAGAGTTTAATGTACAAATAAAGTCAAAACTAACCGTATTGATTTGGTTAGCTCACATTGCTAGTTTTGTGGTGAACAATTCATCAGTGCAGGTCATTAAGAAAAAAAAACAAGTTTGCTCTTGTAATATAAAATTAAAATCTGAAAATACACTTCCTGTTTGCGTTCAATTAAATTCTCAGATTAGGGCTGTTTCTCAATTCCAAGAACGCAGAGAACGGACTAGCGTTCTTGTGAAGACCGGTCTTGCCAGGGGTCCTCGGAAGAACGAACTCAGGAGACCGCGAGAGCAGAGAATGCGTCCTTTGAGAATTGAGATGCTGCGTTCTTCCTGATGGTCACATGACCTTCACGTGTTTTAAATGGTAAATTATTTAAACATTACAGCCTTCATACAACGATTTATTGTTTCCCCCCTCTTCAAAATATATACTCTGCATAAAAACATTATCAATATACTCTGCACAATATAAATAAAACAGATTTTAATACGAATTTCAACAAACAAACACCCTTAATGTGTTTATTCCTTTATTAAGATGTAAATGGTAATGTTTACTTCCACCGATTCATTTAGGGAAACTCCTGAGGTAAATAAGTGATATCTCTGAACTTTAATAATAAATCTAAATAAAATGCAGCGCTTCCCACCTCCAGTCGCAATGACTTCTGGAACTTCCAGAGCGAGTTCGGTGCTCAAGTCTGCATCGGTGCGTCCTCGATATCAAGATCACATCCGGGAAGTTTCACGCGTCCTCCGTACTTGCGGTGTTGAGTATTGGAACTGAACTTAGGCAGCTGATGATGACGTTGCACGAGGACGCAAGACCGCTGAAGAACGCATATTGAGAAACAGCCTAGGTCTGCGCGAAGAATTGGGCGGGGCTAACATACTTAGCCACGCCCCTCCAGCTGTCAGTTTTGACAAAAAACATAAATGGCGATGAGGAGGAGGTGTCATGAGGAGGCTCTACCTAAACACCTTTGCTGATCTTTCTAAATTAAATGCCTACTTTACTACATCCAATCAGCTCACAGTAGAAAAAACAAGCCACGCCCATTGTTTTCTCGCTTAATACTCCTTTTCTCTAGGAACTGGATCACTATATGAAAAATACAACGGGCGCAGCTTCCGGTTCATGTAGACTTGAACTCCAACTTTCTTCAAAGCCGCTGTGTGGAAGTTGCTAGTAGACAGTGGCTGTATCTGAAATCATCCCCATGTGCCCTCATTCATTATTTCCTACATTGGTCCTCTGAAAGGAGTGAATGAAAACTAGTGAGCTAATATTCGCACTGAGTGCACTGACGAGGTGCTGTTTTGTTTGTTGTGCTTTGCTATAGCAGATAAATTCCTCAGGCGAATTAGGTTTTACATACGCCTGTCACAATAATCAATATATCGACTTGTCGCACATAGTGTTGTCATGATATTTTTTTGTATTTGCTTGTTTATTTTACAGGGACAATACACTTGACATTGTTATACAAAGATATCCGATGTTTTGTACATAGGGCATATAGCATAAACCTAATTTGCAGCCCTCGTCCCTGGTTAGGCTTTACATTAAAAAAAATTAAAATATAATAACAAAACAGTCAAGAATAAAACACGATACAGCAGACATGTACAATATTTACAGAGCCATAAACATAAGATGCAAGTCCATATGGATAAAGAGAAATGTAAATGGGACCAACCCGTTGTCATGATATTGGAATTCTGTCATGATACTGGAATAACTGGCCATTGAGTTCGTTCTTAAACAGCGCTGATTTGCCATTGTATTCACATGCTCAACAGAAATGACTGTGATTGGCCGTGAAGGTCATCAGTTCACCGGACTCACTGCTGGTAACTGAGTGTAACCACAGACAAAGGGAGCGTTTTAAAGTCACGTCAACCAGTTGGTCTGTTTATAAGCTGACATCCTAGCGGTCCGCTAATGAATCGTGGCTTTGAAACACGTACACTTTCTATTTCATAGGATGTTACTGTAAACCTCACTCCTCTGACCTCTAAAGGTGCTCTACCGACAATTGGTAGAGGCCATAGTCTTTAGCCTCCTTTTTAGAGCAACCGACTCTCATGCGGAAGGTCGCCGGTTCGATCCCAGCTGAGAGCGGGTTGGGTGGTTTACGACCGGCAGGGTTACACTACAGCAGAATGAACCCCCAACTATTCCAGCATATACTTTATGCAGTGGATGCCCTTCAAGCCAGTACTGGGAAACACCCATACACATTCATTCATACACTTAAACACTACGGCCAATTTAGTGTATCCAACTCGCCTATAGTGCATGCATTTGGACTGTGGAGGAAACCATCGCCACATGAGAGAACATGCAAACTCCACACAGTAATGCCAACTAATCCTGTTGGGACTCGAACCAGCAACCTTCTTGTTGTGAGAGAGGGTGCTCGCTGCAGAGCCATTTGAGGAGAGGTGAGCTCCAGAGAGGGGGAGCATGAGCTGTCGCTCCTCCTCCTGTAAGCTGTTTTAATGCGTACACCAACCCCACCCCTAACCCTACCCCCAGTGACATCACTCGTAGAAGAAGTGCAAAAAAGGTGGAGCTCAAGCTTAAGCTCCCCCTCTCTGGAGCTCACCTCTCCTCAAATGGCTCTGCAGCGAGCACCACTTGTGTTGTGAGGCAACAGTGCTGCATATACTACTATCATAAAATACTTTTATTACAGTAGTAGAAGCACTGCAGTTAATTCATTATAGGCAGTCATACAGTATCCCCAGTATAAATGAGATTCGTCAATGAGATACAATAGCATTAGCCACACTATCAGACATGATATCGTACCTTTACAGAAAAAAAAGGTTATTCACAGGTTAACTTTCTTTAGATTATCATCTTTAGGTCAAGACCGTGGCGTTGAAGTTGATTAGGAATTAACTGAAGTCAAGTAAATGTGATTACTTTGTACTGGATTATAATCAGCAGAGCACTAACAAGGCCCACATATTTAGAGAGAAGATTTGGATTATGATTCAGAAGAATATCAAAGTGCAACCTGGATCAGTCAGAATCATACTTTCCACAATCCCTGAACAAAAACACATGCATTTATATTTGGGGTAAGGAGAGCTCTAATACAAATAGGAAACACTGTACAGCGTTCTGTATATAAACTGCTTGCCTATAGATGAAACCCTCTCAAATGAGGCTCATCTTTTTGTATTGTTCGGTTTATCCTTCTCATTCTCAGTGTCTTATTTATAATGTATAGCTTTTAAAATGCCAATTTTGCCCATTATGATTTTTTGGGGTATAACATCTGCTGAATCAGGGGTGCTCAATCCTGTTCCTGGAGATCTACCTTCCTGTACAGTTTAGCTCCTACCCTGATCAAACCCACCTGAACCAATTAATAAGGACCTGAAATCCACTTGATAATTACAGACAGGTGTGTTTGATAAGGGTTGCAACTGAAATCTGCAGGAAGGTAGATCTCCAGGAACAGGATTGGCCACCCCTGTGCTGAATAATGCTGAAGTGGACTCAAACGAAAAATAAATATGAATATCAACGACTTAATGGATTTATTCATTTATTTTCCTTCAGCTTAATCTCCATTTCATGGGTTACCACAGCAGAATAAACCGCTAACTATTCCAGCATATGTTTTACACCGCAGTTGCCCTTCCAGCCGCAACCCAGCACTGGGAAATTGATTTATTATTATTATTTTAAATGTGTTGTCTTCCATGATTGTGATTTGAATCATCACTATTAGCATGAGGTGGCAATAAAATGTTCTACCTATTTCTCTTCATGACCTTTATCCTGAGTTGCTATAAGCTAGATTACATAAACAGTTCAAAAAGTTCAATAAATTAAAAGTTATATTCCTTTTAAATTTATGAAAATAATAAAACAATAAATGTATATATTATTGTATTACATAAAATAAGTGTTTTTTCAAAACCTGTTAAGTCCAAATATAGCAGAAAATCTAAATATTTAAACAAATTATATTCCAAAATTTTCCAAGTTGATATCTCTAAAGATGAGCTTTCAGTCAAATTTGGTTTGGCTGCAGTACCAAAAATCACCACCAGGTGACATTCAGATTACATTAGTGACCCTATGTTTTGAAGAATATGAACAATTTTTTAAATACTTTTGACAGTACTTGTAAAATTCTAAAAAGGTTTGGGCAGTGAGGTGATATTTGACTTAAAATTAGTCTCTAAAAAACATTTTAAAAATGGATTGCTGTAGCAAAGTAATGCTTTACGACTCTGAAGAGTAACCTTGTGGCAAATTACAGAAATATCTTATCTTATCAATTAATAAATAAATTGGAAACTAGAGGTTGTAAGCTTTCAAATGATATATAGTTTGTCGTGATTGCTTTATGTTCAGACTACAATATTATGGTTTAAATATGTAGACGCAAAAGGATTTTGATCTCTTACTCTTCCTAAATAACAAAATAATATTAATAAAGTTTTTCATGATTAGATCAGGATGTAATTGCACTATATTGAAGATACCAGTTCTGCAATCAGGACGATGGTAGTTATGGGCTTAAATCTTGGTCTCCTGATGCCAGTTATTTCAGAGGCTTATTTCAAAGGACTAAACATTTATTAATTTTAGAATCATCTGCAAGCTGTTAAAATATTTTGGAGGGGTTTAGCTTGGACAGCAGTAGTAGCTGTGGAATGGTATTCAGTGTGTGTCTGTTGACTATCCTGGAAGATAAACCATTTTAGTACATGAATAAAATGTGGGAAAATTATGGATTTCTTTTCAGAACACTGTTGGTTGGGTTAGGGAAGTGGGTGATCTGGTCAGTCGGTGCTTTTGAAAACACTACTGGTTGGGTTTAGGGAAGAAGGAGGGTCAGTGTATCTTTTGGTCATTGGATATTTATTTTAGAAACAGATATTAAAAAACAAGAAACGATTTATTTATTTATTTATTTTATTTAAAAAAAATTAAATTCAATGCGTTTTTTGAATTTTAAAACTAAAATAAAAAAACAGCTCGGTTTTTCTTTTTCCATGGTGAATAACCAAAATTCAAAAATGATTTCATTTTCTTTCTTTTTTTTTCGAATAACAAAAAATTGAATCGTGAAAAAACAAAAACAAATAAACACTTTTTTTTTTTTTTTTTTTGAAACCAGAGAGGCCAACTCATTTATGGTGACACAATGCTGACCTGCTAGCCTACTATTGTTTTTTTCCACTTAATCTCTTTTTTCCACTTTTCCTCTAAAACATGACTCATTTTTGTTTTTCAATATCTGTTTCTAAAATAAATATCCAATGACCAAAAGATACACTGACCGAGGAGGGTGGGTCAGTCAATTGGTTGGTCAGTCAGTCAGTAGACAGCGGCCTCTGGTGGATTTACGAGAGAACAGCAGGTGCGAATGGCACTCGCGAGAGAAAGTTGAGATCTGAAAAAACATACACAGCGGACTCTAGTGGATTTGCGAAAACAAAAACTGCAAAAAACGTAGCTCCTGGGACATATTTGGCGCTCTCCAGAAATGTATACATGAGTACGTTTTCAGAATGAGCCTTATTACTGTGTACATTAAATCAGAAATGATGATGCTAATATAGACCTGAAGCTTACCATGGCCATGCACAATTCATTGTGTTCATATTTGATTTAGTTGATTTGTTTCGATCCAACAAACCTGAAGGATTCATTTCACTACCAGCTGATTTCTTCAGACACTGAAGCAAAAAGAATAAGACGTATAACGTCAACAAAGCTGTATAATATAACTAAAATCTCTCTTTTTTTTTTTTTTGGTGGTAATTAGATCTTTATAGTTTCCCTCATCATGTTTGACTGTTTTGCCATGGTTCCATGCAACACTTAACTCTCAGCTTCAACATGTTTAAGATTCCTTTTGCAGTATTCACACCTGTATAAGCCTTCCTGAAAAAGTCTTCTCTCCAGATTTCACATCCAGATGGTCACAAATTGATTTATAAGTCAGGTTTTCGAGCAATCATTCCCCTCAGATTTGTAAACTGGAGCTTTACGGCTGATTTGCTTTGAATGATAGCTGTAACTTTGGAAATTTGTATCTCTGAATGACAGCTTGAAGAACATCAGCAAACGTGTGTTTTGCAGGGAGCCACCATAAAGAGAGACGAGTCGTCTGGAGCTATAATCGTGGCTCGGGTCATGAGAGGAGGAGCTGCTGATAGAAGTGGTGAGTTGCATTGTAATTTATAAATATAATACAGTAAATAGCGCTTAACTCACAATGCCTTAAATGTGATGCTATGTTACTATGTGGGCCATGTATAACGCATTTACTAACATGAACATACAATGATTGATTTGACTCGTTTTTGCTTTGAAAGAATAATACTTTTGTCACCCCATTGGCAGATTATATTACTTGTTTCAAGGGAAAACACTTATTTTTGACATATTACTTCTGAAAACAAGACAATGTTTTGCTTGTCTAGAAAATGCTTCTTGATTTAGATATTTTAAGATATTTGGACTATAAACAAGACAAAAACTTTAAGTGAGAACAGCATTTTTTGCAGTGCAGGGTGTGGAATGACATGAGGGTGAGTAATTACTAACCAGGCCTGGAAAACAAATCACAGTCAGGTTTCTTGGGGTCTTCCTGACCCCAAATATTAGTAGACCAATTACATAGAAATATATGAATTTTATATGATTACCTAAATAACATTTTTTACAGTCACTTCTTAACTTTGCATTTGACTTGAGGTTTGGTGAAATCGCAGACAAATGCCTGAAATCACAGGCACATCTGCGCTTGTTTATATGAGTAACAATCACACAGTGTGAACTATCAAAGACATGATCTGAGAGAATCGCTGATGATGCCGTCAGATATTTGGCGTACTCAAAAACATGCGGTGTGAAATGTGTTCTGGTTGAAAATAACATCAGTGATTACCTCCAGCCAATGAGAGAGCAGCATTCGCTAGTGTGGGTATCTGCAGGCCAGCGGGAGGTTGAGGGAGAAGTTAAAAGGGCTTTTTTTTGGTCTGTTTGGAGCCAAGAAATGGAGGAAAAACTACTGTTAATTTGGCAGGAGCACCCGTGTCTATTTGACATGTCATCTGAGACATATCACAACCAGGTCAAAAAAGAAAAAAGTTGAGGAGTAATTGTTAATTCCCTTCGAAGCCAGATGAGCAAAATAAGTACATTTTCTACCCCACTAAAGGCTTCTTATGTAGTTAATAAAAAGATTCACTTCTCCCATTCATTTTCATTGTGGAACCTGTGTGTGATTTTTTATTTTTTTTTTACACACCTTTAAAACAACCAAATCAAGTCCAGTTTTTTGTGTTTTAAGCAGCCTGATCTCACACGAAAACGTAAGTATTTTACGTTTTGCCAGTTCAGTGGCTAATTCAGTTCAGTCGTACGAAATTGTACGATTTTAAAAAGGAGGTGTGGCACCCAACCACACCCCTAAACCCAACCGTCATTGGGGGATGAGCAAATCGTACTAAATTGTACGAATTAGATCGTACAAATTCATACGAATTAGCCACTAAATCAAAAAGTTACGAATTGATTGCGATAGAGATTGCGTTGGTTTTCAAATAGTTTCATACCACTCAGATGAAAAGAACACACACACACACACACACACACACACACACACACACACACACACACACACACACATATATATATATATATATATATATATATATATATATATATATATATATATATATATATATACATATATACATATATATATATACATATATACATATATATATATATATATATACATATATATATATATATACATATACATACATGAAAAAATAGGAGACATTAAGGGTTAACAGAATTTTCACTTTTGAGTGAACTAAACTTTATAGCCATTAATTGTTTTATCCTACAGGTCTGATTCATGAAGGTGACATGCTCAAGGAAGTCAATGGTGTTCCAGTGGAGGACAAAAACCTACAGGAGATCATCCCAATACTGGTACGCATTAGTTTTTTGTTTGTTTTTAATTTATTGATGTTTATTTAAATAATGGAGGACTGTCTCTGGTGAAATATGAACAACAGTGGTGACAACCCTACTGAAAAATCCAGCTTAAACCGGACTAGGATGGTTGCCTGGTTTTAGCTGGTTGACCAGCCTGATTTTAGAGGTGTTTTGGCCATTTCTAGGCTGGTTTCCAGCCATTTCCAGCCTGGTCTTAGCTGGTCAGGGTGGGAGAGCTATGTCCAGCTTAAACCAGGCTGGTTTTGGCTGGTCATTTTCCAGCCTGACCTGCTAAGACCAGGCTGGAAATGGTTGGAAACCAGGTTGGAAATGGTCAAAACCCCTCTAAAACCAGGCTGGTTTAAGCTGGATTTTTCAGCAGGAAAGTGATACATTAAGAGTGCAAGTTAAAACTGTGCTTACATAATCATGTTTTACCAATTGTAAACTTAATGTAATGGTCCCCTGGGGGCTGTAGCATGAAGCTGGATTAGCTGAAGTTTCTGTTCAGTTTGCACCAATCTTGGGTTCTAGGTAACATGGAGGCAACTCAACTTTAATCACTCTTTCTTGCCATTATATTATGGAGCTGAGCTGAGCTAGCTTTATGGTATCTTAAACCCAGACCTGATGTGAACTAAACTCAAGCTTAACTAGCTAGTCAGCTAATCTGGTACAAGTACAGGCACCTCTAGTGCTTTGAAATGCACTGTTTTGTTCAATGTTTTATGTAATTTCAACAGCCAATAGTGTTTTCGTTTATATCACAGCTCTTCCAGTCAGAGTGGTTGAGCTTAAGTGCTAGCAATGTTAAGTCTGCCTAACCATTTCTCTTCTGGGATGTGTCAGATACTAGAAATTGGTCAGAATATTTGACGAGAAGCTGAATCTAAAAAAAGGTGACGTCGAAAAAACAACAACTGCATATCCATTTCAGAGGAAGTGATTTGAATGCTTTGAGTGCTAACAAAGCACTTTTTAAAATTTTGTCACTGCTTTGGAGCACACTAGAAGAATTATAGTAGCAAAATGTTCATTTGATTTCATAGAGACTTTAATGTTGATCTTAAAGTCTGTGTGTAAAAAATATCTAATGTTTACTTTGCTAGTTAAACAATTCATTTGTGCAAGCTAATCCACTGACAAAAGTTTATTTAGGTAATCTTCAATCAAAGTCTGAGCATTTGCTTCCGCGTTTGGATTGGTGGCTCTTTTCTGTTGATGTCAGTTTGATGAACTCAGCAACAATATTCTTACAATACTCTTAACCCGAACACCACCCCCCCCACACACACACTTTTAGTTTAGCTATGAGAGACTGATGCCCCCTACTCAATATTCCTTTTCAGTTGGAAGCACATCAACATAAACTAAAAGTTTCCGCAAATTCCTGTTCATTCGGACTTTAACCAAAGCCAGGTAAAGGGGGTTGAAGTGTGAATGCGTTTTGGCATTTAGTGTGTCTGAGCATTCATTCTGTTGAATGAAAATATGTGTTTGTTCTTTAATCAAAGCCTGTTTGTCATTATAATACCTTTCAGGCCAAGTCAGAAGGAGCGGTGACCTTTAAAGTCGTCCCAGGCACCAATGAAGAGCTGGAGACGAACGACACCCAGGTCCCTTTTATTCAATTACTATTATATAATTAATATATAATCAATAATTATTATTAAGTGTTACTTAAACTGAAGTTTGCCCAAAAGTGAAACTGTACAACTGTATCAAATAAAAATAAATCTGGATCCAGTTTTCTGCATTGTATTTTACACCCCAGATAAGTAAAACCAGTTTCTTTGTGGATTCTTGCAGGTCTTCGTGAGAGCCCTTTTTGACTATGATCCCCAAGCAGATCCTGCTATTCCATGCAGAGACGCTGGGTTGGAGTTCCAGAGAGGAGATGTTTTGCAGATTGTGAGCCAAGATGATGACACCTGGTGGCAGGCCAGACGGCACGGAGACGCCAACCTCAGGGCCGGACTCATTCCCTCAAGACAGCTTCAGGAAAGGTACGAAAACGTTCAGATTCAGACTATTGCACAGCTATGCTTCAGGTCTAGACTGGAGAAACTAAATCCATTTTGTTGTCAGATCCTGTCATCTTATTCCCAGTGTTGAGTTAAATACAGTCAATATTTCAGTCTTTAAGAAAAACAATCAAAACGTGAAGAGAATTCCCTTTGTCTGGACTGTTTGGTGCCTGTAAATGACAATGGAAATCTGTCAGCCTGCTGAAATGTTATTAGTGTGTCTTTCAGAGGGTGACATCACTGAATGGTTTACAGTATAACTTGATCTAGTCTCAGCCTTCATTCTCTGAACTTTTGATTTGATGCAGTTTATACACCAAAAATATCTAGCAATCCATCACAAATTCTAGGAATAAGGAATATATATATATATATATAAATATATATATATATATATATATATATATATATATATATATATATATAAGCAATATACAAGCAATTGTCATGTTTTTTGCAAGGCAGTCAATGCAACAGAACTTGGATTTCAGGATAAAATTATATACAGTGTTTCACGTATTCCAGTTTTGGTTTTTTGCAGCAGATTTAAAAAAAAAAGTTGGAACAGTAAAGCATTTACCACATTAAAGAGATTAAGTATTTCAGGTGTAATTTTGTCCCATTCTTCCTGCAAACAAGTCTTAAGTTGAACAACAGTACGGGGGGCACGTCAAAATGCGTCACAGATTCTATATTGGAGCCCGGTCAGGACTGCAGACAGGCCAGTCAAGTACCTGTATCCTCTTCCTCCATAACCAGGACTGTAATGTATGCAGAATGTGGTTTTGCATTGTCTTGCAATACTCATGAGCGTCCCTGGAAAAGCAGGCAGCTTGTTGTGCTTCAATATCTCTATACTTTTCAGCATTATTCATGACATCACAGAAGTGCAAGCTAGCTTTGCCAGGGGCACTGACACAACCCCATACCATGACAGACCCTGGCTTTTAGACTTGTTGCTGGTAAGAGTCTGGCTGATCCTTTTCTTTTTTGGCCTGAAGCACACGGCATCCATTTCTTCCCAAAAAAATACCTGAAATACTGATTCATCTGACAACAGTACATGGTACATGTTTCCACTATGTGATGGTCCATCCTAGATGCCTCCGAACCCAAAGAAATCGAAGGTGCTTTTGGACACTGTTAACATAGGGCTTCTTTTTGGCGTAGATATGAAATTGCTTAATGTCAGCAGTGTTGCATTTTTTAGTTTGACCTTAATATAAAGTTAGGGTTAGGGTTAAAAAACAGAATAGATATTTTAAACTTGGATGGAGTTTCAAACTGCATCTGACTTTCAATAGACAGGTTTAAAATATTTATAATGAGTTTTTCTGAGGTAACTGATGTTGAGGTTTTCATTGCTGCTTTGTTTTCCTACAGGAGAGTGATGTTACAGAGGCCTGAAGTTTTGTTCCACTCACCCAGAGTTTCAAGGGCATTCAGTGGTAAGCTCACAAAAACCCAACCCAGGCTCTTTCTGAAAACATACCGCTATATAGTTTTCTGAAGAACGCCAAAAATGTCCCAGGAGGTACTTTTTTTTGCAGTTTTTGTTTTTGAGAATCCACCAGAGGCCGCTGTGCACGCTTTTTCAGATCTTAAATATCTCTCGCGAGTGCCATTTGCGTCTGCTGTTCTCACGTAAATACACCAGAGGCCGCTGTCGACTCGCTGATTGACTGACTGACTAACTCACCGATCGATTGACTGACACTTTTCCTTCCCTAAACCCAGCCTATAGTGTTTTAAAAAGCCTGAAAAGGAGCGGTGTCATACAACCCCGTATTGTTTGTTTTAAAGATGAAATGCAGCCATACATTCTTCTGGATACATAATCCGTGATGTCCAGAAATGTATATAGGGCTACGTTTTCAGAATGAGCCTATGTTGCAAAAACCTGAGGATTGGATTATTGGATCTGTCCTAAATGGTGCATTGATGTGTGCACTAGTGAATGCTGCTGCTTTTCAGCACAAATGTCTTGATATCTTAGGTTGTTGATGTTGCCATCCACTGTGCAGATCTCATGAACACCCCCTACTGAATATGTTATACTGAATGTAACCCCAAACCATGATTTTTCCTTCACCAAACTTGACTGATTTTTGTGAGAATCTTGGGTCCTTGTGGATTCCAATAGGTAAAGTACAGTATTTGTGATAATTGAGATGCAGATCAACTGATGATTCATCTGAAAATTCTGCCACTTTTCCAAATGATCAACTAGAACTCAAGTTATTATTTGCTGCTCTTACAACTGGGATCAACAAGGCTTTGTCAGGTAGTGTATGCAGTAGAAAAGATAAGCCATGCCCACTGTTTTCTTATTTAATACTCCGCTTCTCTAGGAACTGTCAAAATATATAAAAAAACAGTATATCAATAAAAAATCATTGCATCTTCCGGTTCATGCAGACTTTAAAGATAATTCTTGTAAACACTATTTACTGTAGTAAATATAAAACAAAACACCTTTTTAAAGAATACAGTAAAAGCATGTGCTGTTCATTTCTGAACTCCTTTTTGGATGAAAGTACAAACAAAGCATAGACCCAACATCCCTTACAGTGTGTTACAGAGCGATGTGGAAATGATTGTGGAAATGGACCGATGTCAGGCTTAAGATCAGCACACAAAGCCCTGATAGTGACAGTCCGAGATGAGTGTGTCTTCCTGGAGCGGCTCTTCTCTGGAGACCTGAGCTGAATAAATGACCTGATAAAGTCTGAGCAAGTGCTGTAAATCACAGCGGCTCTGCCTGGACATATTAAAAAATGCTTTACTACGTGTGAACACGTTCATACTGAGCCATGGAAAGCTTTCAGACACTCATCTCAAGCACAATATTTCTGTTTTACGGTCGTCACTGTGTCAGATTATGACTAAATTAATGTTGTGGACCAGAAACATGTTAGGCTACTTATTATGGAGCCAGATCAGTTTAAAAAATAATACATTTATGAAATAAAATTCATACACGATTCATAAAAACACAATTTATAAATACACAAATCTAATTTGTAAATTCAAAACACAATTCATAAATACACAAAATACAATTTAAAAATACACAACACATTTCGTAAATTTAAAACACGATTCATAAATACACAAAACATAATTTGTAAATACAAAAAACACAATTCGTAAATACACAAAACACTATTCGTTAATTTAAATCATGATTAGACAATACAGAAGACGCAATATGTAAATTCAAAACACAATTTGTAAATACACAAAACACAATTCGTGAATTCAAAATACAATTTATAAATACACAAAGCACAATTCGTAAATACATAACAGATTTCGTAAATTCAAAACACAATTTATAAATACAAAAGACACAATTTGTAAATACACAAAACCTAATTTATAAATACACAAAACACAATTTCTAAATACACGAAACACAATTTGTAAATACACAAAACACAATTCGTAAATTCAAAACAAAATTCGTAAACACACAAAACACAATTCGTAAATTCAAAACACAATATGTAAATATACAAAACACAATTCTTAAATACACAAAACACAATTCTTAAATTCAAAACACAATTCGTAAATACACAACACAATTCGTAAAATCAAAACACGATTCGTAAATGCACAAAACAATTCGTAAGTTAAAACTAAGATAGAGTAAGAGGAAGATAAATGTTTTATTTGATTAGAAAAAATGTGCATAATGTACTATAGAAACACTTTTACTGAACAAATTCTAGTATGCGCATTAAAAAATTCATGTGATTTTGTCATAAGAGATCATAACAATTTGGGCCAAACTCAATTTCAGCAAATCTTTCAAAAACTGACTGAGACATGTCAGATACTCATTCATTCATTTTCTTTACGGCTTAGTTCCTTTATTATGTCAGATATACAATTAATCAAATATAACGCCATAAAATTACGTGCTGAGCACATTGTTAAACATCGGAAATTATGTTTTGGTTATTCTAAAATGTCGTAACTATTTCAGTATTAGTGTATTAGATGATTAAGTACCTTCAGAATCAAGAGCGTCTGTGCTCCGCGTTTCACTCCTTCAACGCCACCACACGTTCATTGCGTAGCCGTATTGTCTTTGAGCTGCATTTAATTTATTAAACAAGAAAAAGACTCACACAGCTTCCCGTATTTCAGCAAGCAAAATTTTTACTTCTGATATTTGTCACCAGTTAATCAGGAAGTGACGATTTTGTTCTCTTTGACTCGTTGGATGGAAACGCTGCATTATTCGCATGTCTTTTTTATGCGATATTCCAGTTTTGCGGATAAATTTAATTTGCATCTTTGGATGGAAACATAACTACTGGCTTTTATAATAAATATTTTTTACTATGGAAGTCAATTGATGCCAACAAATCACATTATTGAGAGTTAATGATATGGTCATTTTCATTTTTGCGTAAACTATCGCTTTAACACGCTGGTGCATTCATGAGTGACACGGTGACTCTCTCAATCTCAAAGTAGCATGTATTTGTCTTCATTTGGCTCCAGCATAGATGGTAGATGGAATTAATGCGGGTGGAAAAGGGAGCAGCCAATAGATGGATCTGGAACAGTTTGATTTCATCTTGAAAAGCCATTGTAGGTCTGTTCAAAGCAACAGCCCTCCCTATAAAAGCTCCATCTGTGGGTTAGATGCGGGGAGAGTGACAGCTGCTCTGCGGCTCTGCGTCCTCACACAGCCACGATCCGCAGGTCACTTTACGGCCTCCCCTATAACACAGGCACGAGGTTACCAAAATGCCACATGTTAAAGTCAAGACAGCACCAGCGTTTTTACTGGCTCTGTAAAAGCATGACACACATCATTCCCCGATGAACCGCAGGTGAGGACATGCTCAGGACAAGTCGCAGAAAAAAGAAAAAAAACTGCAATTACTATTTCCAAAAATCCACCCTGACCACAGCATGACGGACAGCTGAACATCCATGTCTTGCCCCTTGGCTACCATTGCGTTGTGGCTACAAAAGTCAAGGCCACACACATAATGCGAGCTTTGGATTTGTCTGAAAAAATAAATTTGGTTTTCTTCCAAAATGATTTCATTTTCCTATCTGTTCTCATTTTCATGGTAGATCAGTCAGAAAAAAAAGTGCTCGTCATGTCAATGTTTACATCCCACAGCCACCAAATGAAAGAGTAGAGAGGAGAAGTGTTTAGAGTTAGTTGTTTTTTTTAAAGAAAACTTTTCTTTTTTCAGGAGATCAGTAGAAAAAACAGTGAACAGTTCTGTCTTTTATAAAGTGGCACTGGATGCCAGTTCCTCTGCAACTTGAACAAGCTCCTCATAGAAGATCACACAAGTTACAAAGACTGTAAAAATTCTCATGCCATTTACCCGGGCTTTACTTGTTCCAAACCTGTTCGTTTGTCTGAGTTTGTTTCGCCCTGTTGAACCCAAAAGAAGATATTTTGAAGAATGTTGAAAATGTGTAACCATCGATATCTATTACGAACTCTAATGTTGCATGACTCCACACAGCAAGTCAGACCCGTAACAATAAATAATATTAAATTAAAATTATTAGAACTTCTCTAAATTAATGAGCCCGGAGTCTCATCTCCCGGAAAAACACCAACCAAGATGAATGTCCAAGAAAATATTAATGTGACCAGAAATTTAATGTCAGTGCAGTTTCTGATCATCTCTCTCTCTCTTTGTCTCTCTCTTGGCCTCTCACTCACACTGAACAGACAACATGGAAGGTAATTCTTCATCCTTTTCAGCACGCTGTCAAGTAACAGTGACCCAGCTCTAATTTGCCAGTATTTCTGTCTTTGTTTACATCATGGGTAAAAAACAGTAACATTGCAAATTACCCCTTTCTGTCAGCACTTCATGATTAAGGGTTGCCTTGACTTGGTCTTACATTTATCATTATTTGATTGGAGTGCACTTATTTTTTCCCTCTGCCCTGCTTTCACTCTGTGACCAGCGGATGTGGACTATGGAGCTATAAGTGGCATACATATAGGTAAGGGTTTATTTATTTGTCTGAGTAACTGTAACCTTCCATGGTACAGTGTTCTGTTATAAAAGTATGTCCGTGGGGTCTTACTATTTTTTTTATGAAGTACCTACTGAGGGAATATTTTCAGGCACTACAGAATATCAAATTAAGTTGAACATTACTAAATGGCTAAATTCAGCCTATATAAATAGTTTGCAACCACATACCTTAATTTTTTTTAGTAAATCCAGTGAATCATTTGTTTTGTTCTCATGGCAATTCGTAACTTTTTGATTTAGTGGCTAATTCGTATGAATTCATACAATCTAATTTGTGCAATTTAGTACGATTTGCTCATCCCCCAATGACGGTGTGGGTTAGGGGTGGGGTTAGGTGCCACGCCTCCTTTTTTAAATCGTACAATTTTGTACGACTGAACTCGGTACGAATTAGCCACTAAACTTTTTTCTCGTGAGATCAGGCTGGATCTCTGGGTCTTGCAGCAGCACTTTTAGCTAAGCTTAGCTTAGCATAGGTCATTGAATCGGATTAGACCATAAGCATCTTGCTCAAAAATATAAAAGTTTTGATCATGTTACTAATAATATTACACATCATTGTTATCTAGTTAGCTAGGGACTGTTTTCTAGCACTGCGTAATATCGTTGCACTTGCTTATAAAATGAGCCTATTTCCAAAAATAATGTTTGTCTGTTTTTTAAAGATACTTATCTAACATTGTTATCTGACTATGATAACAACGATAATATTAAAAAATACCATTTACTGACCAGTTTTGATGTATTGTGCATCCCTAGCTTAAACACAGACAATGTGATCGACTAAATCACATTTTATCCGGAGTCTCTGTGCTTGGCCTGATCTCTACAGTGCTGATGAACAAGACAGTTGTTAGCGATATCTCATCGTGTTTCATTTACTTTCGCATCATGCTCCCACATCATTATGAGGATGATGTTTATTCAAGGTGAGGATCATTAGTTTTCGATTTCGCCTGATCTGGTTTGAGCATTCATGCTAATGGGAGAGGCTTTGATGGCTCCAGACAGAGTGTTTTGCACTGGACCATTAGAGATAAAGCCCATCTGTGGACCTAAACATGCGGCTACTGGATGAATCTAGCAGAGACGCGCCTCATTTTCAGCTCTTTTGGCAACCTTGACCCCACTACAAACGCCAACATGTCCACGTCTAATCTCCAGGACACACAATGGCCAAACTAGCATCAGGGGTCGCTCATGCTTAAGACATTACAATGAGACCATACTTTGCCAGCTCCAGATTTATCACAGCGCTGTTGCAGCAAGTATGTGATGGAAAATTGGATGCAATTGCATGAGCTCTGGTAGCACTAGATGCTTTTTGAGCAACTGTCAACATTCTTCAATAAATCTATTCAGCAAAGCCTCCTGGATGTGGTGGAACGGGAGTTTCGCATCATGAATGTGCAGTCGACAAATCTGCAGCAACTGCATGATGCTATCATGTCAACATGGAGCAAAATCTCTGAGGAATATTTCAAGTACCTTGCTGAATCTAGGATTAAGGTAGTTCTAAAGGCAAAAGGGGGTCCAACCAGGTACTAGTATGGTGTACCTAATAAAGTGGCCAGTGAGTGTATATATTTTTGAGTGCATTCTTGAAACCCCAGAAAGCATGCTTACTTATCCAGATCCTCAGGATGTTTTCGGTGAGCGTTAGTAGGAACATGGCAGCCTTTGTTGAACAGATAATGGGTTAAGCATGCCGTCTGGTCGTGTATGATGTATGTGATGCATTTTATGAACCGTTTACTCCAGATAATGTGTTGATGAGGTTAAGTGCAGCGTGCGGTTTTTGAAGAGGCATAATAACAAAGCATTCCCCGTCATATTAGTGACCTGTCTGTCTAGATTTTACAGTATGCGATGTGGTGTCTGAACTGGCTCGCACGTTAAATCGCTGTTGATGATTTAATGGCTCATCAGAGCGGCTCTGTGTCTCGCTCCATGCATTAGTCTGGACATGCAGAGGGTTTTCAGTGTTTCGGGGTATCTCTCATTCTTCCTTAAAGGCGTAGTTCACTCTAAAATAGGCATTCTGTCATCATTTACTGTACGTTTTGGATTAAGATTTCCCTTGTAAATCCACACTGTAAAACATATCCATTAATAAAAAGTGCAGTATGTTAGTTTGACACCCAGTGGTTGAACTAGGTATTACACAACTGGTTTAAAACACACACAAGAACAGGTTGCCAGATTGACAACACCAACAAAGGCTGATTTAAGTCATGTTCTATATAAAAGCAGTGGCATGCGATAGAAGGAATATTTGTCATATTAAATGGAGGTTTTGTCCTAAAAACACCTTGAATTTATATTTTAGATATGGCTTTTATTGCTGAATAAAAGAAACCTGACAATGATCACCTCAGGTACACCTTGTGTGCTTTATTCAGTGTTAAATGCTAATAATGTGAGTTTGAGTGCCAGGCCTGTAGCCTGGGGGGTTCAGAAGACCCACCCCCAACTGACAAAGGTCCAGACTTCGTCCCATATATGAGCTCATTTGTCCTATTTTGACTGCAAGGCCATCATAAATCATGAAAATAATGCATCGAAAAAGGCTTCAAGACCAAACGGAATCATTTGCTGGCTGTTGCTTCAGTGGGACTATAATCTAATGTAAGAGAAGTCTTCTTTCACTACTGTATTGTTTTTTAAACAGAGAAAACATTTTACAGGTGTTACACCTGGCTCAGGGATGTAACATAATAAGGGAGATGACAAGGAGAAGTATAATCAAAAAGAAGATTTATTACACATTATATTATCAGTATGTTCAATCAATGTGAAATGCAAATGTATGGATGCGGTAAATGTTGTCAGTGATAGTGTATAAATGCGAAACAAAGCATAATGCCCAAATAGGAGCGCGGCTCTGGCCAACTGCCAAGTGAATGGACAGCGGCCCCGACAAACTCCCTGCCGGGGTTTAAATAAGGGCGTCGACCAGCATCAGGTGCGCTGAAGGCACGCCCCAATCTAGGATCAAAATCAAACACACAGAAACAAAACGCAGTCCTAACATATTCCTATTATGTCATATTATATAATATGTCCTAACATATTTCATTCTTGGACCTTATTACTAAAATAAAAATGAGCAATAAAAAGGTGTGAAGCACCAGAAGCGGACCATATTAAATTAATTTGAATACATTTTGTCTGTTGTTGATATCCAGGAATTTTCAAATTTACTTTTTTTTAACCAAAGAGGCTTGAAAAATTCTGAACAATTCATTATTATAGTATTATTATTATTACTATTATTATTATTATTATTATTATCACTATTACTTTTATTATTATTTTTTATTAATTTTATTGTCGGCTTAGTCCCTTAATTAATCCGGGGTTGCCACAGCAGAATGAACCGCCAACTTATCCAGCAAGTTTTTACACAACGGATGCCCATCCAGCTGCAACCCATCTCTGGGAAACATCCACACACACATTCACACACGCACTCATACACTACGGACAATTTAGTCTACCCAATTCACCTGTACCACATGTCTTTGGACTGTGGGGGAAACCGGAGCACCCGGAGGAAACCCACGCGAAGGCAGGGAGAACATGCAAACTCCACACAGAAATGCCAACTGAGCCGAGGATCGAACCAGCGACCTTCTTGCTGTGAGGCGACAGAACTACATACTGCGCCACTGCTTCACCATTATTATTATTATTATTATTATTATTATTATGTTTTAAATATTATTTTTTTTATTGAAATTGCCAAATATTTTAATCTTGTTTTAATTTTTTATTGCAATTTTTAGGAAATAGTTTTAGTACATCAAAAAGTGTGGTTATGATGACATCCGACGAGCTAATCCAGCATTAAAAAGTCACTAAAATGTGAAATTAAAATCTCATAGTTAAATAGAAACTGAGGCGTATAACTGCAAAAAGGTCCACTTTTGAGAGAAAAAAACCCCATCCCTTTCACCAGGCTGACTAAGGGCCTGTAGTAGGCCTACATCACAACTTTCTAGTGTCTAATAACAGGCTACCATCATGGCTTGGTTTTCTTATAAACAGAATCTAGCGCACGTGCAAGATTGAATTTGGATCAGTGCCAGCTGGCCGATACCCGATCCAGCAAAAATATGCGGTATCAAACCAATATCCGATCCAAGTATCAGGATCTGTGCATCCCTAGTTATAAATGACATTATTTTGTTTTTATTGTAATAACTTCATTATTAGGCGAGGCAGTGGCGCAGTAGGTAGTGCTGTCGCCTTACAGCAAGAAGGTAGCTGGGTTGCTGGTTCGAACCTCTGCTCAGTAGGCGTTTCTGTGTGGAGTTTGCATGTTCTCCCTGCCTTCGCGTGGGTTTCCTCTGGGTGCTCCGGTTTCCCCCACAGCCCAAAGACATGCGGTACAGGTGAATTGGGTAGGCTAAATTGTCCGTAGTGTATGATTGTGTGAGTGAATGTTTCCCAGAGATGGGTTGCGACTGGAAGGGCATCCGCTGCGTAAAAAAAACCTGCTGGATAAGTTGGCGGTTCATTCCGCTGTGGCCACCCCGGTTTGATAAAGGGACTAAGCTGACAAGAAAATGAATGAATGAATGAACTTCATTATTAAATGTTACAAAAACTGTATTATTTAATATAAAGCAATGTTTACTAGTCTTTTTTTTTTTTTAATTATTAAGTAAACTAGGAAATTACCCATGGCAACTCAATCAAGATTGGTTTTTGGCCCTTTATAAGAAAATGTTTGGACACCTCTGCTTTAAAGCTATGAACTGTACTACTTCTTCCACCAGTAGCCCTTAAATCGCATATGTATAGTTATTAGGTTTGCAATTACTCCACAAATCGCATGTGTGGAGCCTGGACAACCATGATGCCTACTTGACATGTCCTGCAATGTGCCTGGTGCTGCTGAATCAGTAGAATGTTCAGCCCTGAGAAGATCCTCCATGTTACAGACTCTGGAAAACAACATGACCGCCAGGATTACCATGATCCCGAGTCAATCCTAACAAAAGCGCTTCCAAAAACTCAAACATCTCTGCAACTTATAATAAGA